TTGACAAGGCAAGAGAGATTTGAGACCAAGAATGGAATGATCAAGGTTGCAGAGTGACATCTAGGACTCCTATTCAAGGCTGAAAATAGAGGATGACATGAGGATATTTGCTTCAAAGGAGGTAGTTTACCTCTATGAAAGGGTTATTCATAGTGTACTTCACTGGAAGACTGATGTGATCCTTCTTGTTTTCATTATCCAGAAGGAACCTGTGTCTAGTTCACATGGTGAACGTCTCCAGGAAATTTAAGGCATAATAGGTTTTTTCAGCATTATCTGACATCGGAGTGTGTCAGGTTATCTGTCTTTTATATGAAGTCTGCAGTTTTGCTAATCTAGCCTGAGCTCATATCAATTTCCCATGGAAGATAATTTGAGCTAAAACATACCAGTGGGTAATAGTATGTGCGTAGATCATAAATTGTAACCACATTATAATATGTTCTGTATTATGTTAAATGTATATATGATACTGAACAAAATCCCAAATGGAAATGTGCCAGCGTCAAAGGGCTACCATGTTGAATGAATATGTTGTGAAGTAAAGACCTTTACAATTAGGGTTCTACGTGGCATGTTGGGATTACTATTATTTGTATTTGATGTATAAGGACCTTAATTTCAAACAGGTTTACAAATGTCTCAAGAACCATTCATTTTAGCCAGTCTGACGATCTAAGTATGTTTGTATAGTTTATGTTGATTATTTTTCATATTTGAAAGTGACACTTTTTCTATATGTGGTTCAGATTACTTGAGGAACTCAGTAATCTCTTCAAACCAAATACAGTTTTGTTTTGGAATGATGATCTGTTTTATCACTCTTGGTGAAATTTGGAAACTTTTTACAAATAACTAATATAGAAACTATTTTTCTGTGTTTTACAAGTCAGTTTACTGTTTATCATAAACATATGGCAATATCATTTCCTTAGAGATAGTTGTGCTTTGAGTTTTTTAGTTTTGTCCATCTTGTTTGTAATTGTCCCACTTTAGTTAGCAGTTGTGAAGGTATCTTACTGTTATTTGTCATTGACTTATAACATCTCATTCAGGTGGAGCTAAATTATAGCTTTTATTCATTTTTGCAAGTAACAATTGGGATCATGTCTTAGTATATTACATTTATATATATTTATATTATTTATAACTTACAGGTGACAGATATTTAATGACTCAGCTAAGCACATAGGTAGGAACCATTGTTATTCCACTGACATTAACACACTGATGCTGTAAATAAACTGTGTACTGGTACCAGTTCTAAAAGATACAGGTTTTCTTTTATGTCCTGTTTCTTTGGTTATAAAAGCATCTATCAGCGGTGTTGCCCAGAAGGGAGAATTTATTAAAAAGCATAAAATTCTATATTGTAAGAAAACTTTTGTATATATTATGTTTTTCGAGCTTAGCATTAGAGTTAACCTAATGTTACTATGTTGAATTAACAAAATTTCTGCAGGAATTACTTTTTTTAAAACTTTTTCTTCTGGGATCACTTCTAGAGAACAGTAATCAGCATTTAGAAGCTTTAGATTAACTGCAGAATATCCGTTTCCATGAAAAATGCTTTGCTTTTTAGTTTATTAGCTCTTAAGGCCCATGAATACCATTGGGTGGGGTATTGTTGAAGTAAGTGCCTAGGAGCTGAATATCCTTTTGCTCCACATTATTTTATTTTTTTCTTTTGTATATTTGCTTTCAGTTCAGTGCCTACTTTAGGCACTAAATCAATATTTGTTGATGGATCAGGCCAATGAATGTATGTTCTATAATTAGCTTAACTCATTATTTAGGTCAGAAGTATTGCCAGGTAATAATGACATGTTGTCATATTAGCAGACACACACTGATTAACACTACTTTACCAACAATAATATGTACAGACTGTCTATTATACACTTTGTACAGGGAAATGAATTATATGACCTGCTTTTGAGAGGCTTCAGAATGTATATATTTATCATGTTCAATCCTTGTTTACTAATATTCAACTGTGTAGTTTTTAAAACTGTAAGGAAAACTCTGGAAATACAATATGTAAGAATAAGAAGTTATCTGTCCTAAACAGTGATAATTTGGAAATAAATGATCGAACTATACACATTTAGGAAAACAACCAAAAAGATTATCTTATCTCTTATCCTTTGAGACGACATGGAGGGACCTGGAAAGTATTATCCTAAGCGAAACAAGCCAAGCAGAGAAAGACAAATATCACATGATCTCACTTATTTGTGGAATATGACGAACATAACAGTCTGAGGAACGGCGTAGTCCCAGAGACATGGAAGTGGGGTACAGACTGACAATCCCCTGAAGAGGGGGTGGGGGGAGAGATAAACCACAGAACTTATATGCATGTATGCATGAACAATGGACATGGATAACAAAGGTGGGGACAGGGTTGGGAGAGTTAGGGAGGGGGGAATCAGTGGGTGAAAAAGGGAAACATCTGTAACAAAAATAAATTAATTTTAAAAAAAGATTATCTTAGTTGATGTATATTTGGTTTTGAAAATTATTCTTGCCAAAACTTGAAACATTGGCCCTTGAGTGTCTGATTTTGACCCTCTAAAGGCAGACATCAGTGGTAGAAGCTTCTGCTTAGAAAAGTACTTATTCTCCCATTTTCTTTTTATATTGCAAAGCAAATATCAATACAGTAAGATTCTATAATAAGTTTTAAAATTATATTTAAACAAAATGAGGAACTGCATAAGAAACTATTTGCAAAGCTCTTTTTTATATGAGTAATTAACTATATACATGAACCAAGTTATATATCCCAAAACTCATGTAAGGAAAAAAACAATAAAGTAACAGGATGTATCATGTGGGATGATCTTATGCTACGATACTATCACCATGAAGAATATCTTCCCAATACAAATCCCAGCCCCTGTTCTGGGTCTACAAGAAACATTGCACTCCTGTGCAGAAAAGAGGGGCATTTGTAAATAGATTTAAGCCAGAAGTAAAAAACACATTTTTGCTGTCCTAATATGCTAATAGTAAACTTTTCTCTATTTTGGGTTTTTCTTATATGACATTTAATATTCTATACTTTGTCTATGTTATTTGGTTATTATCTTCCTTTGGTGTTGACAAACTTTATTTTTCAGATGGAGAAAGAAACTGTGGATTATGAGTTATCATTTTTAAGCCTGTATTGAATTCCTGTGTCCATGCAGGCAATAAGAAAGTGGTGGCATTCTGGTTCTAAGATGTTGTTTTCCTTAACATTGGGTTATCCTCCCATACTCAAATGATTAATTTAACCCCAGCATCTTGAAAACTATCTTGTCAGATGGAAAAGCCAAATCATAGCAATGTATTGATAGAATTACATGGCAAATTACCTCCATCAGAACTTCTATATAAAAGAAATACTAATCAAAGTCCTGCTAAATATATGTCAGTATATCCATAACACATTAAAATACTATTTTTTCTGCATAATTTTTTTTAAATGTGTTTTTATTGATTTTTTTTTTTTTTTTAGAGAGAGAGGACGGGAGAGAGAGATAGACACATCGATGTGAGAGAGAAACATCGATTGGCTGCCCCCTGCAAGCCCCCTACTGGGGAACGAGCCCGCAACGTGGGCATGTGCCCTGACCAGGAATCAAACTGGGACCTCTCAGTCCATGGGATGATGCTCAATCCACTGAGCCACAATGGCCAGGCTCTGCATGTTTTTAAACTTTATCAAATATGTATTATTCTATAACTTAGTGATTTTGATAAAAATTGTTTTGGAGATTTATCTGTGTTAATTTTAGGTAATTTATTTAATTACTGTTTGGTATGCACATACCACAGTTTATAGCTTGCTACTTCTAGGTTCTGTTTTGTTTTGTTTAGTTTTTACAAAAATTATATATATTCTCTAGAGTTTTTAGACCATTGTTTCCCAAATTGCAAGGCATGACTTATTAGTGATCTTAAAATTATTTTAATGGGCTGAGATAGGCATTTTTTAATGACAGAGAAAGATAAGATAAAACAGGGTAGAACAAAATAGAATAAAATAGAAAAGAAGTTAAAAGCATCTCAGGTAGTATGGGTAAGATTTTGTGAAATTTCTGTCTTAACTACATATATGTATCAAAATGATTGAAAGACAGTATTGTTGATTGTTCTCTCAAATTGTTACATCAGTTATATTCTTTCCAGCAATTCAAGTGTCTTTGGTCTGCATCCTTACCAACACTACACATTTTTCCTCACTAATTTTGCAGATCTGATGGGTGAGATCTATATCATTGTGATTGCATTTCCATAGTAAATTCCATGGTGAATTTGAGCATCTTTTCATATGTTTATTAATTTCTTCATCTGTGAATTGCTCATATTCTTTGTCCATTTCTAAATTGAATTGTCTTTTTCTTACTGATTTTTAGTCATTCTTTATATATTCTGGATATTAACCTTTTGTCATTTATCAGTTATATGTGGTGAAAATATCTTCTCCCATTCCTTGGCATGTTTTTCTCTTTGTTCACTTTGTCGTTTATTATGCCAAAATTTTAAGCTTTAATGTAGTAAAATTTATCAGTCTTTTCATTGTGGTTTATGCTTTTGTTTTATGTCTTATTTAAGAAATCTGTCCCTGTCCTGAGATCATAAAGGTATTTTCTATTCTTTGTTCCAAAAGTTTGAAAGTTTTGCTTTTTTTTCACATTCCAGATGGTTTCCCTTGAATTTTCTGTTGAAATACTGTAAATTAAACTTTATTAATATGTGTATTTTTATGTTACATTGTCCAGATTGTTGAAACCTGCTCCCAAAATTTACAAAGTATATCTAAAAGTTATATCTTACAATATTACATTTTTTATAATTTTTTACCTCTATTGCTGACTTCTTTTTTGTAATCCTCACCTGAGGATATTTTTCCATTGATTTTTTTTGTTTTTTTTTTTGTTTGTTTGTTTGTTTTTGGTAGAGTGGAAGAGAGGGAGAGAGAGAGAGAGAAACTTCAGTATGAGAGCGACACATTGATTTTGTTGCCTTCTGAAGGACCCCGACTGGAGCTGGAGATCAAACCCCCAACACAGGTACGCGCCCCTGACCGGGATTGAACCTGCAACCCTTGGGTCCATGGGTCCATGCTCTAATGGCTGAGCCAAACCGGCCAGGGCTACTGCTGACTTTTTAATAATAGAGCTGATATAGAGTGTATTTTTTTCAGGCAAATAATGACTTTATTAAAGTTGCAAAATGGTATATTCCTTTTCTTCTCTGTTTTTTCTGTGTGTTTGTATCACATTGAAATGTTTGTTTGCTTGGTTTTAATCCTCATCCGAGGATATTTATACATTTATTTTCAGACAGAGTGGGAGGGAGGGGGAGAGAGAAAGAGAGTCATCGATGTGAGAGAGACACACCGACAGGTTGCCTCACGCACCACCCCAACCAGGGCTGGACACCTAACTGCAACTGAGGTATGTGGCCTTGACCAGAATCGAACCTGAGACTTCTTGGTCAGTGGGCTGACGTGCCAACTGCTGAGCCAAACTGGCCAGGGCTCACATTGGAATTTTTTTAAAAAAGCATTTTTCACAGTGCTAGAGGATTCAATATTCTTTTCACAATAATTACAGTAATAATTAATCTTGAATCATTTTTGTATATTGCATACAGACTACATTGGAAATTTTGACCAACAAAAATGAAATTATGTTAATCATATCCAAATGAATGTTATTTATTTGAATATGGCAATTTTGATATACCATATATACGATTATATCTTAACCTGATTAGTGAAATAAACAGAAGGAATAATTTTTCACCATTCTAATTTTTAAAGAATTACTATTCTTGAAATTTCTAAAATGACAAAAAGCTATTTTCTTCCTTAAAAACATAGGATACACAGCTGTTAAAAAAAATCTAATAATTGATATCAAGTGATTTCCAGGATGTATTGTTAAGTAGGGGGAAAAGCAGATTACAAAAGAGTATATAAATGAAGCTATTTTTTGTGTAAGGAATTGAGAAATAAAAACACATACATATATCTTATTTTTTGTGAAAAGAAATAGAGGAAGAATAAACCAGAAACCAGTGAAATTGGGTACCTACAATGGTAGAGAGATGAGGTAGAAAACAAAAAACAAAAAAGCCCTGGATGATGGGCTATTCAGTGATCATGCCTTATTAGCAAGATTTCCTTTCTACCAGGAACAAAGGTGGTCCAAAGTACAATGAGGGGTCACATCTCTACTCTGGTCCCCTTTCTTTATTTCCTTTTTTTGCCTTTGAATTCTCTTCCTCTCCTTTCTCTTCTCTTTCTCTTTATTCTCATCCCTTTCCTCTTTTAATTTTTATTCAATAAATTCAGGGCAGATATGTAAAAGGTATTTTAAGTTAGGATAAAGCAAAAATAGAAGAATTCCCAATATAGTTAGTATCCAATATACAAAAAACTGTATTCAAAGGATGCTTTCAATGAATATATTGCATTCTACTTTGTGGTGGTTATAGCAATAAGAGAGTCATGATTCCCTCTTCTAAAGCACTTGCAAATTAACAGAGAAGATTGTATAGGAATTACTGTCACGTGAAATTATCTTTCCACATTGGCAACTAGATCAAGTTTTATAAATTTATATGAGAAAAGTCCAAGTGATCCTTTTAAAGTGAGCATATCTTTTACAAACATTAGAAGCAATGATTTGTATTAATTGCCATGGTTTGAGTTATAAGTATTCTGAATATATTATTTATTTCTTTTATTCTGAGAGACCTTTTTATAGCTGAGGAAAACAAAATTTCAACAGTATCCTCAAGGGCATATAAAACATCAGTAAGGAACACTTTTAAGACTTGACCTTATTATTATTTTTAATTATCATAGAGGATATGTATTTATTGATTTTAGAGAGAAAAAGAAATCAGTGTGAGAGAGAAACATCTATCAGTTGCCTCCCATATGTGCCCTGACAGGGGATCAAACCTGCAACCTTTTGGTATACGGGATGACGCACCAACCAACTGAGCCACCCGGCCAGGGCAAGACTTGACCTTATTTTGTTTTTTTGGCTTTTTTTTGGAGACCACAAATCCCCTCAGTATTTATTGAGTTAATTGTTTTTTTTTTTTTTTTTAAATTTTATTTTTGTTACAGATGTTTCTCTTTTTTTACCCCATTGACACTATCCCTCCCAGCCTGTCCCTGGCTTTGTTGTCCATGTCCATTGGTTATGTGTACATGCATAAATGTTCTGTGGTTTATCTCTTCCCTCCCCCCACTATCCCCTCTTCTGAGGGTTGTCAGTCTGTACCCTACTTCCACGTCTCTGGGTCTGCCCTATTCCTCAGACTGTTATGTTCATTATATTCCATATATAAGTGAGATCATGTGGTATTTGTCTTTTTCTGCTTGGCTTGTTTCGTTTAGGATAATACTTTCCAGGTCCCTCCATGTTGTCTCAAAGGATAAGAGATCTTTCTTTCTTACTGCTGCATAGTACGCCATTGTATATATGTACCACAACATTTTTATCCATTCGTCTACTGATGGGCACTTGGGCTGTTTCCAGATCTTAGCTATTGTAAATAGTGCTGCTATGAACATGGGGGTAATATATTCTTTCTGATTGGTGTTTCAGGCTTCTTAGGGTATATTCCTAGAAGTGGGATCACTGGGTCAAATGGCAATTCAATTTTTAATTTTTTCAGGTAATACCATATTGTTTTTCATAGTGGCTGCACCAGTCTGCATTCATACCAGCAGTGTACTAGAGTCCCCTTTTCTCCACACCCTCACCAACACCTGTTTGATGATTTGTTGATGGCAGCCATTCTGACAGGTGTGAGGTGATACCTTGTTGTTTTAATTTGCATCTCTCTGATGATTAGTGATGTTGAGCATTTCTTCAATGTCTCTTGGCCATTTGTATGTCCTGTTTGGAGAGATGTCTATTCAGCTCCTCTGTGCATTTTTTAATTGGGTTCTTTGTCTTCCTTTTGTTGAGTTGTATGAGTACTCTATATATTTTAGAGATTAACCCCTTATCTGATGTATCATTGGCAATTATACTTTCCCATACTGTGGGTTGCCGTTCCATTTTGGTGGTTGTTTCTTTTGCGTGCAGAAGCTTTTTAGTTTGATGTAGTCCCATGTGTTCATTTTCTTCTTTGTTTCTGTTGCCTTAGGTGATGTATCAGTGAAAATTCTGCTGTGTATGATGTCTGAAATTTTGTTGCCTACATTTTCTTCTAGAAATTTAATAGGTTCACAGGTCACATTTAAGTCTTTTATCCATTTTGAGTTTATTTTTGTGTATGGTGTAAGTTGATGGTCTAGTTTCATTTTTTTGCATGTAGCTGTCCAATTTTCCCAACATCATTTATTAAAGAGGCTGTCTTTACTTCATCGTATGCTCTTGCCTCCTTTGTCAAATATTAATTGAGCATAATGTCTTGGGTCCATTTCTGTGTTCTCTGTTCTGTTCCACTGGTCTATATGCCTGTTCTTGTGCCAGTACCAGGCTGTTTTGATTTTGTCGAATGCTTTTTCAGCATCTATTGATATGATCATGTATTTTTATTCTTCATTTTATTTATGTGGTGGATCATATTTATTGATTTGCGAATATTGTACCAGCCTTGCACCCCCCCACCCCCAGCTTAGTAAAGCATATATTTCTTAGTGGTTGCTGAGAATTGATAAGTCTGCTCTTCATAGTGATTTATAATTTTCCAATCCCAGGAAAAATTTGACCAAGGTCTAACATTTATTTTTCTTTATATGGGAAGTCAACTCTGAAATGAAAATGTTCTACTTATTTCCTTTTAGATTTAAGAATCTATGTTTATCATAGGATTACTTTTTCAAACCTCAGTAGGAGTATTCCCATAAGAAGTCATATGGTAGTTTCAGTGCGGTTAAAACACCTTTTGGGTTTTGTAGCTGTTATGCCCATGCCAAAAAATGAATTGCTTTATCTTCTTTTCACTGTATTTGAGCTTAGCTTATTTTCTCTGTTAATTAGTAATTTTAACCTGTCTAGTTTCATTCGACATATGGGATGCTGATTTTACCACATACTTTTTCCTCAGGGACTGCACTGGACTGAGTCTATATGGAAGAAGAACTCCCCCTTATTTATGGAGAAAGTGGCAAGGTTAGAAAAAAATCACACCCTTGGAGCATGTATTTTGTGTTGCATGAAACACTTCATCAAACATTCATCGGTCATCTGATGGGAAGATCAATGAGAGAGTTCGTATCTATCTTTGAGGGGCTCACAGTGAGTGACTTAGATGCCAGCAGATAATTTTGTGGGTATATAGAATGTCAATGATGTAGGAGCCAGCAGGGAACTATGGATATTGACTGAGGAGTAAAGAAATGTTCCCAGAGATGGTGACGTTTGAGCTGGATGAGGAGTACAGGCCATACCCTACTTTCACAGATAATGCTGTCCTACAGAAGGAATGCTGTCCTCAGACTGGAATGTGTACTCCTTTCCCAGATATTTTAAAAATTATAAAATACTTAATCTTAATTCATTATACTCTTCTATTGTTGAAAATATTACAGATGTCCCCCTTTTTTCCCATTGACCCCCTCTCTGCTCCCACCCCCTCCTGATTTCCCCAACCCAATGTCCATGTCGATTGGTTGTGCATATATACATTTAAGTTCTTTGGTTTATCTCTTCCTACCCCTACCACCGCCCCCATCCCTCTGAGGTCTGTCATTCTGTTCCCTATTTCCATTATTCTGGATCTCCTTTGGTCAAGAGCTTATTTTGTTCATTATGTTCCACAAATAAGTGAGATAATATGGTGGTTATCTTTCTCTGACTGGTTTATTTCACTCAGCATAATACTCTCCAGGTCCCTCCATGTCTCAAAGGGTAAGAGATCTCTCTTTCTTCAGCTGAATAATATTCCACTGTGTCAATGTACCACCTCTTTTTATCCACTCATCTACTGTTGAGCACTTAGGTTATTTCCAGATCTTAGCTATTGTAAATAGCACTGCTATTAACATAGGGGTGCATATATTCTTTCTGATTAGTTTCAGGCTTCTTAGGATATATTCCTAGAAGTGGGACCACTGGGTCAAATGGCAGTTCCATTTTTAATTGTTTGAGGAAACACCATATTGTTTTCCATAGTGGCTGCACCAGTCTGCATTCCTACCATCAGTGTACTACAGTCCCCTTTTCTCCACACCCTCGCCAGCACTTGTTGTTTGAGGAATTGTTGATGGCCGCCATTCTGGCATGTGTGAGGTGATATCTCAGTTATTTTAATTTGCATCTCTCTAATGATTAGAGATGATGAGCATTTTTTCATATGTCTCCTGGCCATTTGTATGTCCTGTTTAGAGAAGTGTCTATTCAGGTCCTTTGCCCATTTTTTAATTGGATTGTTTATGTTCCTTTTGTTGAGCTATATGAGTACTCTATATATTTTGGATATTAACCCCTTATTCGATGTATCTTTGGCAAATATGTTCTCCCAGAGGGTGGGTTCCCTTTTCATTTTGATGCTGATTTCTTTTGCTGTGCAGAAGTTTTTAAGTTCGATGTAGTCCCATTTATTAATTTTTTTCCTTTGTTTTTCTTGCCCTAGGTGTTGTATCAGTGAAAATTCTATTACATGTGATGTCTGAGATTTTTCTGCCTACATTCTAGGATTTTTATGGTTTTACAGGTTACAATTAAGTGTTTTATTCATTTTGAGTTTATTCGTGTGTATGGTGTAAGTTGGTGGAGTAGTTTAATTTTTTTGCATATAGCTGTCCAATGCATCCAGCATCTTTTATTGAAGAGACTGTCTTTTCTCCAATGTAGGTCTTGCCTCATTTGTCGAATATTATTATGCATACTGTCTTGGGTTGATATCTGAGTTTTCTTCTGTTCCGTTGATCTATATCTGTTCTTGTGCCAGTATCAGGCTGTTTTGATTATAGTGGCTTTGTAGTATAACTTGATATTTGGTATTGTGATCCCTCCCACTATGTTCTTCTTTTTCAAAATTGCTGTGGCTGTTTGGGGTGTTTTATGGTTCCTTATAAAGTTTTGGAGTATTTGTTCTTAATCTGTGAAATATGACATTGGTACTTTTAATAAGGGATTGCACTGAATCTGTAGATTGCTTTGGGTAGTGTGGACACTTTAATGATGTTGATTTTTCTGGTCCATGAACATGGTATGTTTCCACTTTTTTATATCTTCCTCTATTTCTTTTTTCAATGTCCTGTAGTTTTCTGAGAACAGGTCTTTTACCTTTTTGGCTAAGTTTATTCCTAGATATTTTTTGTTGTTGTTGAAATGGGAAATGGGATTGAGGTTTTTTTGTTTCCCTTTCTGAGTGTTCATTATTGATGTATAAGAATGCCATCACTTTCTGGATGTTAATTTTTTATCTTACTACTTTGCCAAATTCATTTATTAAGTCTAGTAGATTTTTGATGGAGTTTTTAGGGTTTTCTATGTACAATATCATGTTGGCGAATAATGACAGTTTCACTTCCTTCTTTCTGACTTGGATCCCTTTTATTTTTTCTGCTTATCTAATTGCTGTGTCTGAGACTTCCAGTACAATGTTAAATAAAAGTGGTGAGCCCTGGCCGGTTTTGCTCAGGGGTTAGAGCATCAGCCCGCAAACCAGAGAGTCCCAGGTTTGGTTCCCACTAAGGGCACATACCTCAGTTGCAGTTTGTTTCTGGCCCCTGTTGGTGTCGTGTGGGTGGCATCCAGTCGATACATCTCTCTCACATCGATGTTTCTCTCTCTCTCTTCCCCCCTCTCTCTTCTGGTCTATCTGAAGATAAATGCAAAAAATGTTCTTTGGGTGAGGATATAAAAACAAAAATAAGAGTGGCAAAAGCGGGCATCCCTATCTTGTTCCTGTTCTTAAGGGAAATGCTTTTAGTTTTTTCCCATTGAGTATGATGTTGGTTGTAGGTTTTTCATCTATGGCCTTTATTATGTTGAGATACCATCCCTCTATTCCCACATTGCTGAGTGTTTTTATCAGAAATGGGGGCTAGATTTATCAAATGCTTTTTCGGTATTCATTGATATTATCATAGATATTCTTTAATTTATTTCTGTTCCATCACATCTGAACATTACAGTCAACCAGCTTAAGTCCAGTCAGTGTTCAGCTGATGTTACAAGTTCTTCATCTTTTGGCATGCATGTTGATTTCCATCTAGTGTTAATTTCATTAAATTTAGAGAATGTCTGCTCTTTACTGTTAACAGCTTAATGCTAAGTACCACTATTAACTTTCACTTTTCCGTTTCCACTCTTTTTTAATAAAATATTGTCAAAATACAGTGAAAAAAATGTAAATAATTAAACAAAGTGAGCATAGTTTCAGAAGCTCCTGAAATTGTACCATAGTATTACCATGGGTTGCCTCAAAGTGCTTATTTGTGAGCCCTTGTAGGAAAGTACAAAAATAGCTTAGAAAAGTAATACATAGGACTTGAGAGTCTTACATATGTTAATGGGAAAATTCCTTTTTTTCCTGGAGACAGATTTTTATAAAATAAAATAATGGACTCAAAGAATTAGCAATGAAATAACTTTATCACATACAAAGTGTTATACTGCCAGGAAATCTTCAAAGGGCAAGGTATTGGTTGGTTTTCTTAAATTTTTTTCTAGGAAGTCCAACATGTAATTTTAATTCTTTTCCATATGTTGTATTTTAAATTGAATTATGACAACTTAACAATTATTTGTAGTTAAGTGAAGTATCATAATCTTCTTGATTCTCTTACTGATGGAAAAACAATTACATAGGTAGCCCACATTCCAAGGAATAATAAAATGCATTTGGTCCCTAACTTTATGGAGCTCTATTTTCTTAATTATGTTTTCAATCAGCTAATTATAATTTTGCTACTTTGCATTTCCCAAACAGATGCCAGCAAAAGATGGGGAAGGTAGACTGGATGTGAACAAAGTAGGAAATGAGAGCTGGCCTGGGATTAATTCTTGCCTATGACAGTATTATGTGCAGGAAGGAAGGTTACCTGGGCCACAGTAGGACTGTGAATTCCAGGAACACAGTCTTGATGATGTATACTGCCAAGCTCTCATTCCTTGGTAGTGCCTTTTTCCCCATACAGATTTTCTGTTGCCCACTCATGGCTCTTGTTCAGCCAGTCCCTGGTGTAACAGTTGGGCACAGAGGTGGTAGTTGGGTGCCTTCTTCAGAGATGGCTCCCGTCCTGCAGGGCACTGCATGTGAATTCTTATACTATATATACTTTTATTATGCAGGGTGGGGCAAAAATAGGTTTACAGTTGTTAGTATGTGAAACACAAGTATATTCTTGTGTTATATTAATTGTTTTCTTTTCCATGTAAACTACAGAAAAATGAATTTTTGATGACTAACGTTCAGCAGCCAGTCTTCTGGCAGATTTAAAAAGCAATGTAGCCCAGCTGGTGTGGCTCAGTGGTTGAGCATCAACCTATGCACTAAGAGGTCGCCGGTTCAATTCCCGGTCAGGGCACATGCCCAGGTTGTGGGCCAAATCCTCAATGAGGGGCATGCAGGAGGCAGCTGATTGATGTTCTCTCTCATGGATGTTTCTATCTCCCTCTTCTTCTCCCTTCCTCTCTCTCTAAAATCAATCAAGAGTCCTGGCCAGTTTGGCTCAGCGGTTGAGCGTCGGCCTGCAGACCAGAGAGTCCCGGGAGTTGAGTGTAGGCCTACAGACCAGAGAGTCCCGGGTTTGGTTCCTGCTAGGGGCACGCACCACAAAAAAAAGTAAATAAATAAATAAATGAAATCAATGAAGAAAAAAAATTTTTTTTAAAGTAATGTATTCATACTCTGTTGTATTTAGGTTATATTGAAGTTATATGTTTTCTATTAAATTGTGAGCTCCTTGAAGGGAGTGATTATGTCCCATTTTTATATCTTTAATATTGGACATTCAGTAAATGTTCAGTGATACTGTCAGACCCAGTTTTCTTGATCAGTAGTGACCTTTCACAAATGTCCACTGCAGGTGACATTACAAACACACTGGAATCCCAGTGGTCAGCAGAGTTATGAGCTGGGTACCATAGGTTTTATAGAGGTGGGCCAGGAATAAAGTTCAGACTAATAATTTGTACATAAGTATTTAGTTGCTGGTTGAGTATACAACCTGATTCTGGGCATCTAAGAAACCACTTGATTTTGTAGCAGGGCAGGTTGAAATTGAAGAGGCTACTTGAAAGGCAAAAATGAGGCAGCAATCAATCATTTATATTGCTGCTTGTTTTCTTATTGTATATTGCCATCTGCCCTGTTTTTGCATGACAACAACCCACAGTTAGTATCACTGCCCTGTTCATAAGGACTCTATGTGAACAACAGCCAAAGCCCTGCAAATTCAAGCAAACAGTGGTTCTACCAGAAGTATAACTTTTTATGTGACCTTCTTACTCAGCGAGAGGTGATGTGTGGAATGATGATGTATGGAATGAAATCTAGGCTCATCCACTTAGAAACTGGTGATCTTGGAGGATTACTTAGTCTTTCTGTGCCTCAGTTTCCTCATATGTAAAATGAGGATAGCAATATCTATGTCCTACAATTGAGAAGATTAGAAATAATATATAATAACTCTTTTAACTAACCCATGGGACATCTACATTAAATATTTGATACCACATTTCAAACATTGAAATTTTTAGGGTTAAATAGGAAAAAATATTAAAATGAGGACCTCATAGGAAATTAGGTTCTTCGATGACATAAGGAGGTGGGTAATTTTAAGTAGAAGCTCAGATTCTGTTTTCTAACGTGACCTTGGGTGATGCCTAAAAGATAAGAGAAGACATCATTTTTGGAACAGGGTCTTAAAATTCAGTGTCTGGCCAGTGTGGCTTGAATTGAGCGTCAACCCAGGCACCAAGAGGTCGCCAGTTTGATTCCTGGTCAGGACACATGCCCAGGTTGTGGGCCAAATCCCCAGTAGGGGGCATGCAGGAGGTGGCCAGTCGATGTTCTCTCTCATCGATGTTTCTGTCTCTCTCTCCCTCTCCCTCTAAAATCAATAACGGGAAATATATATATATATATATATTTAAATTTGAGTGGCATGGTGAAGTAAAGTGGCTGGATTTGGTATCAGGGGAGCTCGCCCTGGTTCACGCTCTACACTAACTCAGGGTGATTCTCTTAGCAGTGACAAGCTGCTTTGCCTCTGAATTCATTTTCTAGGGCTGTCCTAATGACCGCAAACTGAGGGGCTTAAAAATAATAGAAATTTATCCTCTCCTACTTCTGAAAGCTAGAAGTCTAAAACCAAGGTATCAGCAGGGCCATGACTCCTAAGGGTGGAAAGGACAAATATCCTTTCAGATCTGTAGAAAATAAGTATCTAATACGATTATCTTTCTACCAGAACTCATTCCTGGTAAGGTTGACTTAGTGGCTGATGGGAAAGATAGGCCTTGGAAAATCCCTTGGACCTTTAAATCTAGCAAGAATATGATGATTATTTATTTTTTATATTTAATCCTTACCCAAGAATGTGTTTATTGATTTGAGAGACAGAGGGAAGGAGGGAAGAAGGGAGATAGAGAGAAATATCAATGTTAGAGAGAAACATTGATCAGTTGCTTCCCATATGAGCCCCTAGCAGGGATTGGACTCACAACCTAGGTATGCACCTTCATCAGGAATCAAACCCACAACCTTTTGGTGTACGGGATGATGCTCCAACCAGCTGAGCCACTGACCAGAGCAAGAGTGTGATGATTATTAAGGGAAATGGTCAAATATGCCATTTGATAGGCATATTGGCTATTTATGCATCTTATTGTAATCTACAAAAATATTGAAGGTTGCAAATTACATAATTAAAACATGTTTTCAGTATAGCACATCAATAAAAGCTCTCTTTAAAATAGCTTTATAGCCCTGGCCAGTTTGGCTCAGCGGTTAGAGCATCGGCCTGCGGTCCGGAGAGACCCGGGTTCGGTTCCCGCTAAGGGCACGTACTTCGGTTGCAGTTTGTCCCCGGCCCTGGTTGGTCGTGTGGGTGGCAGCCTCTCAATGTGTTCCTTCACATCGATGTTTCTCTCTCTCTCTCCCTTCCTCTCTCTCCCTCCCAATCTATCTGAACAAAAAATGGAAAAATATCCTCAGGTGAGGACTTAAAAAAAAATAAATAAATAAAATAGCTTTATAATGTTCATGTTGAATGTTCTTGTCCTCAACATGAGTGCAGATAGATGCTCACGGAACTAAAAGTGTGCTGTTTTGAGCTAACAGTCACGTGCGGAATAATGGTGTTTTAGTCAACAAAAGTCCACACATGTGATGGTGGTCCCATAAGATTATAATGGACCTGAAATTTTTCTATTGCCTAGTGACATTGTAACATTGTATGCAATGCATTAAATTGCCTACAGTATTTATTACACAGCATGCTATACAGGCTTTCAGCCTGAGAGCAGTAGGCTATACCTTATAGCCTGGGTGTGCAGTAGACTATTCCATCTAGGTTTGTGTTCGCATGATAACAAAATTGCCTAGCATTGCATTTCTCAGAAGGTATTCCTGTTGTTTATCACATGGCTGTAATTGTGTGCCCCCCCCCCCCATTCATATGTTGAAATTTCTACCTCCTAAGGTGATGGTATTAAGAAGTGGGAGGTGCTTAAGTCAAGAGGGTGGAACCCTTATGATTGGGATTAGTGCCTTTCTAAACAAGCTCCAGAGAGATCCCTAGCCCTGTCTACCCTGTGAGGACACAGGGAGAAGTCAGCAGCAGTGAACCAGGAACAAGACTGTGCTGGTGTCTTCTTCTTGGACTTCCAGCCTTCAGAACAGTGAGAAATAAATTGCTGTTGTTTATAAGCCACCCAGTCTATGGTATTTTGTTACAGCAGCCCAAACAGACTAAGAAACCCCAGTACTTCAGAAGGTGACCTTATATGGAAATGGGGTCATTGCAGATGTAGTTTAGTTAAGATGGGCCCTAATCCAGTATTACTAGTGTCCTTAAACAAAGAAAAATTGGACACAGAAACAGAGAGGGGAAAATAATGTGAGGACACAGGGAGAAGATGACCATCTACAAGCCACAGAGAGAAGCCTGGGACAGGACCTTCCTTCACAGCCCTCAGAAGGAACCAAACTAGCTGATACTCTACCTTGATTTTGAACTTCTAGCCTTTAGAACTGTGAGAAAATAAAGTTCTGTTGTTAAGCCACTCCACTTGTGATAGTTTGTTACAGTAGGCCTAGTGAATGAATACACACTTTCTGGGAGTTTCTTCCTACCAATACCCAAACCTGAGTTGAGGACAAGGGAGCCCACCAGCTGTTTAAACTGAAGGTCAGAACTGACCCATGACCTGAAATTTCTGGGCGGTTTCCTTGGTGTCATCTTCAGCATTATTCTTTTCTGAGGACTTGTTTTGTTAAGAGTTGGGCAGCAGATGAAAAAGCAGTTCTCTCTCTCTCTCTCTCTTTTTTTTTCTTTCCTGCTTTTACAACCAGCCTAGCTTCCAGAACTACGTTTAAGACATAGCCAGCGCTTAAAAGAGGTTGCTAGACGTTCAGGTCCCCAGAGTTTAGCCTTGGATGATTCCCGTGGCCTTGAGGAAAATTCATAGGTGAAATCTGATTCTGCGCAGAGCCGCTGTCCTGGTCGCAGTGAGCGCAGCGCAGGCTGGTGAAGGCATTCCCACCACTGTGCCAGGCCTCAGGGTGAGAGGGGCAAAGAAATGTCATTTCTGAATGAATAGCCTCAATATATACTCTTTCCTTTTCAGCCAGTACAGGCCACTCTGTCATCTTTGAAGATGTTAGATGTGGGAAAGTGGCCAATTTTCTCCCTTTGCTCCGAGGAAGAACTGAAGTTAATTCGTCAGGCTTGTGTCTTTGGAAGTGCCGGCAATGAAGTTTTATATACTACAGTAAATGATGAGGTACTCGTGAAGAAAAATTCAGCCACTTCTGTTTTCAGTAATGGATTTGCTAAACTGAAGAACTTGAGGGAACTAAGGAATTAAGGTTAAAAAACAAGTACAGAGAATAGCTTCTTCTTATATGATAAAGCAGTTGTGTTTGGAGGGCAGAGGGCTCTGCCTGTTGGAATATATAGGTTTGTCAGAAGCAGAACTGCTTGAACTAACAGTGGTTTTGCCCACAGATCTTTGTGCTTGGCACAAACTGCTGCGGCTGTTTGGGATTAGGTGATGTCCAGAGCACCATTGAACCTCGGAGACTGGATTCTTTAAGTGGCAAAAAAATAGCCTGCCTCAGCTACGGGAGTGGTCCACATATTGTTCTTGCAACAACAGGTAACCAGGAACACTGCAGAATTTTAGCCCTTGCTTTATTTGTTGAGAAACGAGACTAAGACCACCCCTTAAATCGAGAATATACTTTTGGATTGGGCAAGAGTTTCTGGCTCTGCCCTGTGAACTTGACTGTACTTTGGCCAACATGAAATATGAACATATCTGCTATCAGAGTGAGGTAATGTAGCAGATGGGATCTAGCAATTATTGGCACTTGAGCTGTGAGAAGGGCAGTGCTTCAAGCCCAGTAAGTCCCTTTTGTTTACACTTTATAAGTGTAATTATTTTGCATGAAAACGGTGAACTCACTCTAGACTTTTCAAATTTGAGAGTCCTGATCTATGAACTAAAAGACTAAAGTCAGATTCCAAAATCCTCTCCAACTCTTAGCATTTTGTGATTCTTATGTTAAATAGTAACTGATGACTATAGTTAACATTAGTAATATAAGGAATTAAATATTCTATGGCTATTTCATGAATTCAGACTAATAACACATTATAAAACATAACTTAGAGTTTTCTGAAGCTAGATATTAATTTTATTAGTATTCTCTAAACCAAATATAAATGTTATATTCTTTTATGTATTTATTTCACATTAAAAAAATAACTTTTAGGGATACTTGGTGTCCAGTAATAGTAGGCTAGATTATTCACATCACTTCTTCACTGAAAACAACTAAAAATTCTAGATAAAATATTTAAAAAATATTTTGCATAAAGGCATCAAAGCACTGACAAGGAATTGTTAGATCAGATATATAAGGAGTGTGAGCTAAGAAGTCAGAGGGGAACTTGAAGCTAATTTTGCCTTGAAGACATCTGCCTACCCACTTAAATAAAGTTGTGATCTAATGTACTTATGAGGGGAAGGGGTCATAAACCAGCACATCAGGCTGGGACCACAAAGAGCTATATTCTCAGGGCAAGGATGAGCCAGGTCTTCACTCCTACAGGGCTGAAATAAAGAATTCCTTGGCTCTGAGCAAATCAAGAAGAAAAAAAGAAAGAAAACCTCTCCTTGAGAGGTTGTAACCATGGATTTGTATTCCAGTTCACATCGGACTGGATAGTGCAGGAAATCTCAAGTCTTGAATTTATTAGAGAGATACCTTTGAATGCTTTTAAGAAGTTAATTGCAGATCCTTTCTTTAGGAAGGCACCTTCATTCTGGGCTGAGGGAGTATGATGCCATTGAAATAATTTTCCAATGGCAATTAGCAGCACATAGTCAAAGACAAGGAAACAGACACCATGAATGAGAACCAGCAAAATAGACAGCAAAAACTGACTATTAGATATCAGATATTAGAATTACCAGACACCAGTTATAAGATGGCTGTATTTATTGTGTTTGAAAAAATAAAAATAAAAAGTGAGCTTGAAGATCCTGCAGAGATCATTAAAGATTTGAAAAAGAACTAACTGTACAATATAATTATCCAAATGAAAAACTCAGTAGACAAGTTAAGCTGCAGTTTGGACACAGCAAAAGAGAAAATTAATAAACTAGAAGGTAGATCAGAAGAAATTATCTGGAATGTAGCACAAACAGACAGTATGGTAGAAAATATGGATAAAACGAGTGTATATTGTATGATTCCATTTATTTAAAATTTTAAAATAGGACAAATAATTCTGTTATTCAAGATTTATATATGGGAGGTTTTGAAGTGAATGGTAACACATAGGTGTGTGTGCTTTGTAATTATTTATGATATTGTTCATATTTATGAACTTTTATGAATGTATATTGCACAATAACTGATATAATAACAAACATTAAAAACAACTTGGTGATCATTTTATAGATAAGGAAATTAAGTCCAAGGGAAGTTACATTTTTTACTTTGAATCTAATTTTTTTTCTATTACTGTTAGCAGCCTTTTTTTCTGCTGTTTATTAAAAGCCTATCTCTCAACTATTATAAAGTGCATTTGCTTAAATATTGTTGCTTTCAGGTAGAATGTAGTTTATACTTTTCAAATGTATTTTTTTCTTTTTTATAGAATGAATTTGGAATAGGGAAGTTGATTAGCTTTTGGAACTTAATTTTTAGTTTTCATTTGTAGAAGTGTGCAATGTATATGTTCATACAGGGTTTCTGTAGATTCTATTACACTTTGAAAATGAAATGTATTTTAATAAATATGGGCTTTATAATTATTCAAAGTTGTGTATACATTTTTTTGGGACACCCTATATAATGAAGTAGATATTTTGAAAGCTAATTATGTTTTTTATTTTCAGAAGGAGAAGTCTTTACCTGGGGTCATAATACTCATAGCCAGCTGGGCAATGGGACAACCAATCATGGTTTGGTGCCCTGTCATATCTCTACTAATTTGTCAAACAAACAAGTGATTGAAGTTGCCTGTGGGTCTTATCACTCTTTGGTGCTAACATCAGATGGAGAGGTAAGAAGAATCAGCATAAATGTCATTAATTTTTTTCTGTAAGATTATATAGATTCCTGTAGCAGTCCTAGAAGGATCATCATTTGATTAAAATGACCACCTCCCTCAAATTTAGTCTTATTCCTATTAGTAACTCATAGTCACAGTGTTTATATTATTTTTGCCTTTATACAGAGAGAATTTCTATTACAGCAACACTTAAAAAGATGTATTATTTCTTCTATATTGCTATACTTAAAGGGGTTACTTGCAAAAAGAAAAATCCCCAAATGCTGGAAAATATGGCTGAAGCAAAGTAGATATTATTATATTATATGATATTTGATAATGATTACTGCTGTTTGTGTAGATAATACCAATAACCTAATTTTATAAATTAATACATTTTGTAGGAATGAATTTTGCCAAACTTCTCTGCCTATGTTGTGACAATTTATGGATATTAATCACTTTGAGAGCAAAGATGAGGTAACATAAGTATATGTTAGTGTCCAGTGGAGACACTTTATAAATTAGTGCATTTCATTAATTGACTTCTTCTTTCCAATAGGTATTTGCCTGGGGTTATAATAACTCTGGGCAGGTAGGATCTGGATCCACAGCTAATCAGCCGATCCCTCGAAGAGTCACTAGCTGCTTACAGAATAAAGTAGTTGTGAACATAGCATGCGGGCAGATGTGCTCAATGGCGGTGGTGGACAGTGGGGAGGTAAGAAGGTTATTTCATATATTATTTAAAGAAACTGTTTGCCTATAGGTGTCATCAACATGTGTGTTTCTCACACACAGAACTTGGTTGCTTTTTGGATTTTGTCAGCATTGAGTCTCTCATTTTCTCTCAGGTTTATGTCTGGGGTTACAATGGAAATGGGCAGCTCGGACTTGGCAGTAGTGGCAACCAGTCGACCCCCTGCAGACTAGCTTTGCAAGGTGTTCACGTCCAGCGGGTACGTCTACGATGGGCTTGTATGCCTGTTTTTAAGGCTTCAGTGGCAAAGATACCAATGTATTAAAAACAGTTTTTATAGCGGGAAGAAAAATTTAGCTGCTTGGGTATCTTCATGGAAGTAAAAGTTTAAGCTCGATTTCCCTGAATTAAATTACAGTTATTCATCAGAAAATTTAAATTTCCGGGGCTCTCTCATACACAGCTGTTGGAATATAAATTGTAAAATCTTTTTGAAGGAAACTGACAGTATGTATCAAGAGGCTTAAAAATATTTATACCCTTTGCTTTGAAATTCTACTGCATTCGAAGGACCCAAAGAGAAAGTCACAGAATTAACGAAGATACAGCAAAAAAATAAAATAAAATAACTTTAGTAAATAATAGATGTAGCATAATTTATGTAATCAAACAATAAGTTAATGGTTAAATAAAATATACTAAGTCCATATGAACAGAAATTATGTTTACAAAGGATTTTTAATGATTTGGGAATAGTGCTCTATGTAATATTAAGTAAAAAAAGACAACTGCTTATGCAATATGATCATTTTAAAAAGTTTCTGCATAACTTTATATAAATAGAAAAAGTATTGATCTTGAGATTACTTTTATATTTATACTTTTTTTCACATTGAACATGTTTACTTTTATAATAAAAAAAGAAAATTCTTACTAAAAAATAAAAGGGTCTGTTTCTTATTAACTTTACACTCCTTGATCTCTGTGAGCATAATGCATGCCACATAAAGCTGAATACTGGACTCATGTCACAAAAGGACTCATGTTGATTTACTGTCATTTTGGCAGCACATGGGACCTAGGCCAGTTCTGGGGGGATTGGTTCACTTCATGCTTGCCTCTCTGGGAAGCCTGCCTCTTCCCATCTTTTTCATGTTTTATTCTTAACCAATTCTGTGAAAGCATGTTTCTTTCTATTTGCAGGCCTGAGTGGATTTGGTTTTTCTCTTTCAGGTTACCTGTGGCTATGCACACACATTAGTATTAACGGATGAAGGCCAAGTATATGCTTGGGGTGCAAATTCTTACGGCCAGTTGGGCACTGGCAATAAAAGTAACCAGTCCTATCCTACTCCTGTGGTTGTGGAAAAGGACAGGTAATATGTTCATTTTCAAAATAAGCTCAGTGTTCCTTAGCAATTAAATAAAATCTAGACTTAATATAGAATTGTGGGGAATTTACTGCTAGCATTAGAATATTTCTTAACAAGAACATCCATTCCTCTTTAAAGTTGGCTTTTGAATTGTTGGCGAATTGGAAGTATGTCAAATAGTGTATTTCCTGCAGCCATAGTTATCTATACCTCCAACAGATACTCCACATTATTCTTCTCCCTCACAAATTACCTTTTCCCTCCCTCCTCACTGTTTTCTGTTTTACATTCTTAAGAGGAAGTTGATTAACATTTGCAGTCTATATTCTGTGGTTTAGGAAAATTTGCTTCTGGGTAAGAATCAGGTGTAAGAACAGATTACCTCAGGCAAAGGCAGGTGCCCAGGCAGTGGCTTTTGTCCCAAACCTGGACCTGAAGGTTTCCTCTAAACTTTCTCCCTCTCCTTCCTGTAGCAGCTGCTATGCCCCACCCCCGGCTTCCCTTTGGCCTAGGAGTTCCAGAGAGTGTCCCGGCCATCCTTCCGCATCCTAACCCCTTTGCTGAGTTTGCACTAGCGTGTTTCCAAGAAGCGTGTTTCCACCTCCTCTAATAGCCTTTTTGTGAAGGCTAATAATAAACATTTAAGAAGTGAATGTAGGAATTATTTTGATTTTCTGTGGTGGGTAGTTGAGCATAGCTGGACACTGTTGTGTTTCAAACAGTTACATTTTTCATTGAACATTATCAGGGAAAAGGGAGGCTATCATTTTAAGTGGTTTCCCAGAGTACACAAAAGATATTCAGAAAATCTAAGTCTTTGCCTAGTCACTGTGGAAGTGATTAAATAGGATGAGAACAGAGCAGTTAAGTAATGTTTAAATAGTGTGGGGCTGTTCTAGCCTCCCCTTCTCCCAGAGAATATTGCTTTATAACTAAAGTGGTTAAAATGTAGAAGGGCCTTTTCTTTTAACTGCTTAGCTATCTGTATGTTGAGCCCCCACCCTGTCAGACCAGCACTGGGCCCCCTCCCTCCACACTGCCAGGGCTGTGTTTTCTTGGACTCAGGAGCCATCTGTGAAGCCTCTGCTTCCTCTCATTGATACTGGGGGGAGGAACAAACTCTTCTCTACCCTCAGGGTTCTTCTGGCTGGTTTAGTAATGAAATAGACATGAGAAAGGTGAGCAAGAGAAAATAACCACATTTAATACATCCATATGTATAGGCACCCCACATGCAGGAGAGAGTCAGAGGCAGGGAGAACATGGGCACAGAAGATGCTCTGAGCTAAGGAGGAAGTAAGGTGCCTGGGGGCTGCAAAGGGTCATTGCAGGACAGAAGAAGAGCAGATGTTTAGTGAGTAGAAGTTTGTCTTGTCCTATACATAGGTCAAAAGAAGTTTTCTCTGACAATTGCTTACTATGGGAAGGCCCCTAATTCAAGTTCTTCTAGGTAGTAAAGGGGGTGCGGGGGCTGAAATTTCTCTTGAGCCCTTGCCTAAAGTTGCCTTTAGCTCAAAACAACCTGCATACCAGAGAAGCACATCTTGGGGTGGCTTGTCCCGAGCGCCCACAATTATCAAAGGCCACCCCGATTCTTCCTTGGCAACATGCTTGGATGTGACGTCCACACCCCCACCAGCCTTCCCCAGCTCACCTCCTGGGGTGTTCTTTCTCCCCCTTTCAGCCTGTCTTGCACATTGTTGCAAAATTAATCTAAGAAAGCCATTTTAATCCTAACTATCGGAGCCCTGTTTTCAAAGCTGTTTCCCACTTGTCGATCACATTGGATCAAATCTAAACCCCTCAGCCTTGGATCTAAGACTGACACCACTGTTTCTAGTCAACCTCGTTGCTGTCTGCTCCCCAGAGTTGCCCATCTATTCCATTAGGTCCTCTTAATAGTATGCCTCTGTTGCCACCCTATGCCTACACATTTTATGTTTCTCTCTGCTTCATATGCTCTCAGTCATCCAAAGACTGTGTGGCTCAGCTGAACTCCCTTTTACCATAAGTACTCCCCGAGGAGTCCCCAGGTACTTCCCCTGATTCACTGGAGCCCCGGTAGGCAGTGCTACACTCTAATGGTACCTGGGACTTGTTTGCAGTTTCTCAGATGAGCTGCTTCTCTCCAGCTAAGGCAGAGCGCCCCCAGGCAGGCCCCACAACACGGAAGAGCTGTTACTCTTGGGATTTGTTACCATTTTAGAATGTGCTGGGCAGCTTGTTTCATTTACTCTTTATTCACCACAAGCCTCTGCCTTTCTTTTTCTTTTTAAGATGATAACATGGGCCCTGCCAGGTTTTCTCAGTGGTGAGCGCAACAGCCCACGGACCAGAGAGTCACAGGTTCGATTCCAGTCAAGGGCACGTACCTGGGTTGCGGTTTGTCCCCGGCCCTGGTTGAGGTTGTGCAGGAGGCAACCAGTCGATGTGTCTCTCTCATATCGATGTTTCTCTCTCTCTCCCTCCCTCCCACTCTATCTGAACATAAATAGAAAAAAAAAATGTTCTCGGGTGAGGATTAAAAAAAAAAAAAAAAGATGTTAACATGGATTATAAGAGTTTAAGTAGCCTGGCCCCTGACTCCCGGGCCATGTCTTGCCTACTACATACCATGCCACCTCACATGAATTGTCACTGCTCTCACATGGAGGTGTAACATGAGGGTAGATGGTAATAGTAGATGCACTTTTCTTGGAATAAATGTATTTATTATATTCTTCTCCCTTTTTCTTTATATTTTGAAAAGAATATCCTTATTGAGAAGCAAAATAGTATTGACTATTTTCCCCATGCAGGCAGGGTTTGATTTGAGCCAGTTGGATGGACTTAACCATGCAGATAGGAAAGGCCTCACTAACTTGAATTGACCATTAGAAATGTGTAGCCTCTACATACAGGAGCTTTGACACTTAAAATGCTGAGTGGAAGTAGTACTATTGAGAAACCCCTGCTGTTAGGCAACTGCGTGTACACCAGACATTGTGCTTGGGGCTTAACATTTTCTCATTTAATTCTCACACACTGGCCTTGCAATGTGATGAAACCAAGAGTCCTAGATACTCGGGGACATACCTGTAGTCACATAGCCGCGTGGTAAAGTGAGGACTCCAACCAGCTCCAGCATCCAGGCTCTCTGCTCTGGGACCTACAGCCTCATTTCCTCCAGGACCCTTGGGTTGTTGTCAAGAGCTGAGAGCTGTCCTGTAATAAGTGAGTGAAATTACTTGAGCTGCACGTGAAAACAGTATGTCTGCAGGTTGTAGGATGACCGACTTCCCACCTTGACTGGGGAACTGCTAGTGGAAGTATGCCGTGGAGGGGTGTCTCCGCCCTTCGATTGCTAGCCTTGGTCAGTGGGGTCTTACCCAACTTCCGTGGCTCTGTGTTGTTGAGTCTTTCCCAATTAGTCAATAAAATGAGCTCCAAATTATATTTAGTAAGACACTGTACTCAGTGTGTAGTGGGGAGAAATAAGCCAGTGTATCAGCCTGGCGGGAACGTGTAATCTGACTGAGTAGGTAAGACCTATACCCCTGAGAGAGAACAGGCTGGAGTGGTGTGGACAGGGAGACCTCCTACCTTGAGGCTATTTGAACTGGGCCTTAAAAGATGGGTAGGATTTCTGAAGTTCCTGAATAAGGACTTGAACTCTGAATAAAGACATTGAGGAGCAGTGTGTACATTTGTTTGTTGAAACATAGGTTGTGTGGGCAAAGTCATTTGAAAGAAGGCTGGACCTACGTGGAATTCAAATTATGGAAGGCCTTGATGTCACCTGTCTGGGTTTTATCTTGTGGGAAGTCACTGAAAGTTTGAAAGTACAATGGGAATGGTTTCAAGAGGAGTGTTAACCAGCCAGTGTTGTGCAATTTGGGTCAGAGGAGAGAGAAGCTGTAAGGCAGAGAGACCTAGGAGGCTGTTAAATTGGTCCAGGTGTGGGGTGTGTCTGACCCAGGGTGGTGGCAGATGGGAGAAATCACAAAGGATCTATGTTATTTGTCCACTGGATATTCTGAAAAAAAAAGTGGAAAGTGAGGAAGGAGAAGTCAAAGGTGATTCTGCAGCTCTGAGCCTGGCCGCTGCGGGTGCCGCTGCCGGTGCCGGTGCCCGCTGCCGGTGCCGGTGCCCGCTGCCGGTGCCGGTGCCCGCTGCCCGCTGCCGGTGCCGGTGCCCGCTGCCCGCTGCCGCTTGCGGTGCCTGCTGCCGGTGCCCGCTACCGCTGCCGGTGCCCGCTGCCGGTGCCCGCTGCCTGCTGCCGGTGCCTGCTGCCCGCTGCTGGTGCCGCTGCTGGTGCCGGTGCCCGCTGCCCGCTGCCGCTGCCCGCTGCCAGTGCCCGCTGCCCGGTGCTGCTGCTGCTGCCGGTGCCCACTGCCAGTGCCGGTGCCCGCTGCCGGTGCCCGCTGCCCGGTGCCGCTGCTGCTGCCGGTGCCCACTGCCAGTGCCGGTGCCCGCTGCCGGTGCCCGCTGCCAGTGCCGGTGCCCGCTGCCGGTGCCTGCTGCCCGCTGCCGGTGCCGGTGCCGCTGCCGGTGCCGGTGCCTGCTGCCGGTGCCCGCTGCCCGGTGCCGCTGCTGCTGCCGGTGCCCGCTGCCAGTGCCGGTGCCCGCTGCCGGTGCCTGCTGCCCGCTGCCGGTGCCGGTGCCGCTGCCGGTGCCGGTGCCTGCTGCCGGTGCCCGCTGCCCGCTGCCGGTGCCGCTGCCGGTGCCCGCTGCCGGTGCCCGCTGCCGGTGCCCGCTGCCGGTGCCCGCTGTGGCAGAGTCAAGACGCCGCCGCTGGCCATCGTGAACTTACTGCACTGGGGTCTAACACGGGAGAAACTGCCTCTCGATGGCACAGCCAGCCAGTTATAAGTACTGCACTTACGTCTGGCAGTGTGAGTTGCGGTGATTCGCAGCATGCTCCATTCAACCCCAAAATTAGTGGGTCAGGATTGCTCAAGTCTTTATTTACTCCAGCAAGTAGTGTTTTAACAAAAAAAAATTATATCAACTTTTTCCTTTTTTTTTTTTTGGTCTTTACTGTCTTGATTATACTTGACTTTCAGAACAAGATGGTACATATTTTTATAGGTCTACTGGCTGGAAGTGGTAAAAGATCTTCATGAGTTATAAGAGCTTTGAAGTATAGCTTCGATGTAAATACCTGTACTTGCAAATTTAGATTAGGTGTGTAGATACTGTTTTAGTTTTAAAATCAAACCTAAGGGGAAGAGATATAAACTCATTTCTTCTCCTGTTTACTGTGTTTACTTGTTTGTTTGTGAATTCAGAATCATAGAGATTGCAGCCTGCCACTCTGCCCACACGTCTGCCGCCAAGACCCAGGGCGGGCACGTGTACATGTGGGGCCAGTGCCGCGGCCAGTCGGTCATCCTGCCCCACCTCACCCACCTCTCCTGCACCGACGACGTGTTTGCCTGCTTTGCCACTCCCGCGGTCTCCTGGCGCCTCCTGTCCGTGGGTGAGCTGATCCTTGTCCGTTTAGGTGACGCTGGCGAACTAGGAAGAGAACTCTGGCCCTTTTATTTTGATAGGAAATACTCTGTTAAGTGCAGTATCATATAATTTATTCCCCTCTACTGGACGCCTGTGAAAAGGAACTAGTTGGATTCGCTTTTCTTTTTAACTTTTTTTCTTTATTGATTTTAGAGAGAGAGGAAGGGAGAGAGAGAGAAACATCGATGAGAGAGAAAATCGATTGGCCGCCTCCTGCACGCCCCCACGGGATCGGGCCCACAACCGGGGCACCGGCCCTGACCGGAATCAAAGCGGCGACCTCCTGGTGCCTGGGTTGACGCCCAACCACTGAGCCCACCGGCCAGGCGATTCGTTTTTCTTAAAAGTATTAGACACCAACGCTACATAGTAAATTAAAAGTACTTTTATTTGATTGTGAAACTCCTTTTTTTTTTTTAGCTAGTATACAGAAACATTGAAGTGTTTCACTTAGGGAGGTGGCTTTGAGCTTTTCAGTTGTGGTTCTGCCAGGCTTACAAGCAGACGTGTGAGGTTCCAACCGTAGTGATGACTGCGAGTTCCTGTCGGGGCGAGCACGGCGGGGGGTGCCGCTGTGCCGGGGAGCTGGCGTCCCGAGCCCCACAGGGCAGTGCTGCCTGGCAGCCTGCACCCTGTCCGCAGTCGACCGAGGCCCATCCTGTTCTCCTAGAGCCCGACGACCACCTCACAGTGGCCGAGTCACTGAAGAGGGAATTTGACAACCCCAACACCGCAGACCTGAAGTTTCTGGTGGACGGAAAGTACATTTATGCTCATAAAGTCCTTCTCAAAATTAGGTAAGGAATCACTTATTTTGAGAATTGAAATAAATACATTTATTATTTGCTAATCCGAGGAACTACTGTAGGCACTTCAGTAGTATGAGAAAGTGTAAGGCAGATTTTGCCCTTGGGAGCTCACCATGCAGCCGGGGGGGAACATTATGCACAAAACAAGAAATAATAGAGGCCAGGCGCAGCGAGTGCCGGGCTGGGCTCAGGGCTGAAGGGTTCCTGGCGTCCTCACAGGACGTGTCTCCCCTTAGCTTCCAGAGCAGCCAGCCTGGCCGTGGGTGCCCTGTGCTCCTAGCACCGCGCGGACCGCCGCTCCGGCACAGTCCACTGCCCGCTGGGAGCTGCTCGCCCTCCTCAGTCAGCTGTGGGGTACAGAACTTTTAGAGGCTTGAAAAAAGAGAAGATAAGGCTTTCCAGAGCAGTAGATGTAGGGTAGAGTTAGCACAGCTTTTTAAAAATCTCATATATTGATGTATACATTTTGAGCGATGAGCTGCATCCATTGGAAGGGTGCGTTTAGGAGCTTTGACAGACACGCCTGTGAGAGCGTTGCCCCAAGTCGCCTTCAAGAAGTTAGTCACTCCTCACCCTCCCTCCTGTCCCGGCACCGGGGCCAGCAATCCTCCGCTGTCCGGTAGCTTAGTTAGCATTTTGTAGAAGTTAATATAAATGGAATTAAGCAATGTATTCTTCTGTGCCTGGCTTCTTTCTTTTAACGTAATGATTTTGAAAATCACCATGTTGTGTAACATTTAAACCCATGGCAACAAATCACAAGCTCAATGATTTTGGAACTAGTCCCCAGTTCACCTCTGAGGTCAGGCTGTGCAGCCTCTGTTCCCTCCTCGCAGCCGGTAAGCCTTCATAAAGGGGTGTGTGTTGGTTTGCCAGGGCTGCCGTAGCAAAGGGCTACAAACTGGGCTTCAGCAAGACATCCATCCATTGTCTCTTGGTCCTGGACGCTGAAGTCAAGATCAGGGTGCTCCCAGGGTGGGCTTCTTCTAAGGGCTATGACGAAGAATCTGATCCTCGAGTCTCCTAGCTTTTGGTGGTTTGCTGACCATCTTTGGTGTTCCTTGGCTTATGGCAACATAAGTCCAGTCTCACATGGCATTCTCCCTGTATGTGCATTTCTGGGCCCAAATTCCCCTTTTTGTGATACCAGTCATATTGGATTAGGGTCCACCCTAATGACCTCATTTTAAATGGGTAACCTCTGGATAGACCCTTTCTTCAAACACTGTTATGTTCTAAGGTTAGGACTTCCACATATGGATTTTGTGACACAGTTCAACCCATAAGAGGAAGTGAGGAAACAAAGTTACCCAGAGGTTATAAAACCCCCCTGATTTCCACAAGTGCTGCTCAGTGGTCACAGCTTGGGAACTCTGCCAGGGAGGCCAGCACGTGTCCGTCATGGCAAGTTTGCATTGGCAACCTTGTTGAATTAGTGGTGGTTGGAAAACTGGCCAGCAGAGGAAGGGAGGGGCCGGGGCAAGGACAGGAAGGTGTGCCACTCGGCCAGCGTCATGTGTCGTGTTGTGTTTCCTCTGCCCTTGTTAGGTTTTCACCCCCCAGGAGCGTGCTCCTTGTGGTTACTGCTCTTGTCCAGAATCGAGGACCTGACCTGCTTTTCTTCCTTCAGGTGTGAGCATTTTCGTTCTTCGTTGGAAGACAGTGAGGATGATACTGTAGAAATGAGTGAATTTTCATACCCTGTTTACCGAGCCTTCCTGGAATACCTGTACACAGACAGCATCAGTCTTCCCCCTGAGGAGGCAGTAGGTAACTAATTGCCACCAGACGTTACCAAGAGATTGGCAACGTGCTGAGGAACTCGGCAAGGTGGTTTCCGTGGAGCCCAAGGGACGTCGCTGTGAGGCAGTGCAGGAGACCTCCTGTTGTGTGTGGCGCCCAAGCCCTTTCCGTTGTTACTGAGCGTATTGTACGTGACTTTTAGCTACCATACCTGTTTCCCTCAAGATGTTTTCATTATAAAATAGTAAGATCCAGGTAACAAGCCATGCTGGTCTCCATATCTGTGAATTTCCATCCCAGACGGCCTCGGGACAGACCACTGTGACCTGGTCCACCTGTGCTGACAGTGGGGACGCAGCTCAGGGCACCCTGTGGGCGCACAGTGAGACGCACGCCAGGTTTCAGTTTGCAGTTGCTGGCAGTACTGTTGGCCAGTGGTACAGAAAAATTAAGGAATTACTTCTGTAAGGAACCAAAGAAAGAGTTTAATCCCCCAAATTTTAAATTAAACATTTATTTTACATATATAAACCAATAACATTTTTTACCAGATCAGCATTTAATTTTACTCAGGTAAACAAAAGTCTGCTTTCTGAAGCTGTCCAGTTCTCCTTCCTTGCTTCCACCAGTCTCAGGGCCCATGCCCACTGTGTGTTGCAGCTCCCCCGGTGTCTGAGGACACAGACCAGGCCCTGCCCGTGGGCTTGCATTCAGATGAGGGAGACCAGCCCTAAAACAACACATACCAGTGGCCAGTCGGGAGGGTCAAGGGGGCTTCCATCGGGGAGAGCACTGAACAGAGCCCTGGGCATCATGAGGGAGCGGGCCACACAGATGCCCACAGAAGAGCATGCTAAGCACGGGAAACATACGTTGAAAAGTCTGAGATAGGAACACATTTAGCATGCGAGGAGGAGGGGGAGGCGAGGTGGTTCGAGTGGACTGAGCAGGACTTACACTGGTGGGAGTTGGAGAACTGAGAGCTGGGCACGCTCATACACACCCCTGAAGGCCGTGGTGAAGACCTTGAGTTTTCTTCTCGGCGTGGTGGGAAGCCTTGGGAGGGTTTGAGCAGAGGGTTGTGTTACTGAGGGTTTGCTTTAATTCTGACAGAGAAATGGAGGGGAGAGTGGCTTAGACAAGATAGTTTCTTTCTCACACAGAAGCACAGTGCAGGGCATCGCTCCCTGTGGCCCCTGTGCTCAGGCTCCAAGACTGCTTCTGTATTACAGGTAGCAGGACAGAGGAGGAGACAGTGACAGAGGGTGAAAGGCAAATACCCAATGGCTCTTAAGGAGGGTCCTGGAAGCTCCACTTACTTAAACGTGGATCGGAGCTGACCAAGGCCATAACCCACCCAAATGCCTAGGAGTTAGGGAAAGTGTGTTCCTATCAGAGGGCCGTGGCCGTGTGTGTGTGTGTGTGTGTGTGGTCCTATCAGAGGGCCGTGGCCGTGTGTGTGTGTGTGTGGTCCTATCAGAGGGCCGTGGCTGTGTGTGTGTGTGTGGTCCTATCAGAGGGCCGTGGCCGTGTGCGTGTGTGTGTGTTCCTATCAGAGGGCCGTGGCCGTGTGTGCGTGTGTGGTCCTATCAGAGGGCCGTGGCCGTGTGTGTGTGTGTGTGTGGTCCTATCAGAGGGCCGTGGCCGTGTGTGTGTGTGTGGTCCTATCAGAGGGCCGTGGCCGTGTGTGTGTGTGTGGTCCTATCAGAGGGCCGTGGCCACGTGTGTGTGGCCCTATCAGAGGGCCGTGGCCACGTGTGTGTGGCCCTATCAGAGGGCCATGGCTGTGTGTGTGGGGGAAACAAGTAGCTTCAATCATAGGAGTGATGTGATTTGTTTTTAAAAGATCAGTAAGTATCCTGGTTCCGGTGTGAGATGACAGTACCCTGGGTTAGAGTTGGGTAACAGTGGTGGCATTGAAGAGACCAGATCCTGCATGTTTTAAAGATGGAACCAATGGGATTTGTCAGGGGGTGGGATGCGGGGTGAGGGAGAGAAGGATGACTGCTCTGAGGTACTTGGCCTGAGTGGCTGGGGTAACGGACGTGTCCTTCACTAAGATGAAGAAGACGGGGAGGTGTTGCTCTTGAGTTTGAAAAGTCAAAGGAGTTTGAGCTGCTCTATTAGACATCCAAATGGTGGTGATTTTATTGGCCCTCCTGTAATATCTGCAGGGCCCTGGGCGAGAGTCCAAATTAAGGGCTACGTACCATACGTCTAAAAACTTCAAAGTTATACATGTTCAGTCTTTGACAAGTGTATCTTCATTGAGCACTGAAAGGCCAGGTTTAGGTTTTCCTGGAATTCAGAGCTGTGGGACTCCTCAGCGCCTGTGTTGGGCACAGTGGCATGGGAGGGACAGGCCTCTGGCCTCCAGCTTGCAGCCAGGGGTCTTGTATCCTATATCACAAGGGATGTGTGGGCATCCTGGCCTGCATGTCCAAGCTCTGTCCACCCCCACCTCAGGCCCCCTCTCCTGGCTGGGGGGCTGTGGTTTCATGGTTTGGAGGGGAGGAAATACCCCACCTGTGGTCTCAAGGCCACTTCCCTGAGGAACCCCAGGGTCCCAGACACCCAGAGTGTGGTGTAAGAGTGGGTGCATGGCTCCTTGAGCACACTTTTGGTGAAGGGTGTGCCTGGCAGAGGTACCGAGTGGGGTGCTCTCATCAGGGACTCAGGGCAGAGTCCTCTGTTCGGGCAATTCCTGCGAATCCACGCTGATGGGAGTCAGGCTGGGGAGTGCACAGGGCTGTTGTATGAGAGTTTGGGAGTTGTCGAGAACTGACCAAAAACAAGTGAGTTCTTCCACGTGTACAAAACTCAGCAGCAGACAGAAACGAGAAGAGTTCATGTGGGATGATGAAATCCCAGCTCTCTGTCCGTTAAGCCCTCTATGAAGTAGTGTGCGTAGAAGGTTTAAGTAGATGTGACAGTATTCTAGTCGCAGGGTTTAGCTAACCTTTTGCTCAGCCTGTGACAGGATGTAGACCTAGCGAATGTGCTCCTCCAAGGGTGTAGGGCTACTTGAGCTCATGAGACACCCTCATGAATGCCATTCATGCAAAGGCAAAAGCCCCTTCCCAGTATTTCCAGCCAAGCCACATACCCGAACACCGCTCATTTCACCAAGAGCAAAGTGTTTCCAGCAGCATCTCAAGCTCCGATCAAGGGTCTTTCAAATGTAACAGGCCATTCCTGACTAGAGTCCCATGGAGCAGACTGAAATTAACTTGTATATCACTCTATGTTAAATTATTTGAAAGTAGATGACAGATTATATAACAGGAGTCACCAACATTTATAGATAGTATTTGAAACCACAGGGCTGGAATCACTTAGGGAAATAAATGAAGTAAGAACGTGAGGACTGAACCCTGGGCCACTCAAACATTTGGAAGTCGGGAGAAAAGGTCCAGCCAAGAGCCTAGAGAGTAACTAATTAAAGAGAAGGAAAACAAGCGAGGAACAAAGCATTTCAAGAAAGGGAGTGTCATCACCCACATGACAGCTGGGTCAGTCTTGAGCATGTCGAGTCTGATGGAAGCAGAGGCGGCCATTCGTGGCCGTCCCGGGGTGATGCCACGGGCGGGGCTGCAGTTCTGTCCGCAAGGGCTTGAGGGGAGGATGGGAGCTGAGAAGATGGAGGCAGCAAGCAGAGACGACGCTCCCCTGGAGGTTTGCTGTCGAGAGGAGCAGAGAAATGGGAGGCAGACCTGTCCGTGAAGTTTTTTTCTCTTTTAAAGAGATGAGCACTGTTATAGCGTGTACATGTGCTGAAGGAAATGACCCAGGGGCAGATATAGGTAATGCAGGCGGACAGATAATTAGAAGGGCGTTTCTAGGAAACACAGTGAAGCCACAGTCAATGTGCTCTTATTTTTCTGTGGCTCCTTGTTTGTGAACTGTATTTGCTCAGTTCAGCCACATTCTTAGGTAAGAGCCACCTGCTCAGAGTGAGTCAGCTTCGCAAGTCTATTCACTTCACCATCCCTAAGGATAATACTCAAAATAATGTCAAATCATCTCTGAAGGGTTGAGTTTAGATCACGCCCCCCTAATAAACGTCTCTCTCTGCCAGGATTGCTAGATTTGGCTACGTTTTATAGAGAAAACCGTTTGAAAAAGCTCTGCCAGCAAACGATCAAGCAAGGGATCTGTGAGGAGAACGCCATCGCCCTGCTCTCTGCTGCTGTGAAGTACGACGCCCAGGTAAGGGCACCGGGTCAGCCTGCGCGCGGCAGGTGGGCGTCCGCTTCAGTCCTTCACTGAGCAGTCAGACACCGAACTACACAGTGTCGGGGAAAGTGTTAGTGTTTACACAGCGTTAGGGTGGAGCTCAAAGGCAGAAAACCCATAAAGGAAAGGATGGTTCCAAAAAGATAAAAAAGGTTTATACACCAAAATATACCAGAGAAAATTAGAAAGTGAATAAATACACTGGGAAAATGTTCGCAACGTTAATAATATAAAATCATGTAGCTAATCATGTAACTGAAACATGATGGTTCAATTTTTTTTTTTTTTTTTTTTAAGTATAAACAGCTGAATTTAAAAAGACTGAAATTCAGCCCTGGCCGGTTTGGCTCAGCGGTTAGAGCGTCAGAGCGTCGGCCTATGGTCCAGAGACCCGGGTTCGGTTCCCGCTAAGGGCATGTACCTCGGTTGCAGTTTGTCCCCGGCCCTGGTTGGGTTGTGTGGATGGCAGCCACTCGATGTGTCCCTTTCATGTCGATGTTTCTCTCTCTCTCTCTCTCTGTTCCTCTTTCTCCCTCCCACCCTATCTGATATAGAAAAAAAATAAAAAAGACTGAAATTCATTATCTATGAAGAAAAAAGACTGAAAAATATAGTCAGTGGTTATCTTTAAATGGTGGGATTATGGATGCCTTTCATTTCCTTATCTTTGTTTTTTTCTGAACTTTGTACAGTCACCACATATTGTTTTGATAATAAAGAAAGGAAAGAAACCTGTTTTAGCTAAATCTTTAGGAAACAGGCTATACTTCTTGGAGTCGGTTTCCTTTTGGTATAAGGATATCCTCTCATTTGGTTAAAAAAACAGGGACATTTTACTGGTGAGTGGAAAACAGGTTATAACCTCTTTTCTGCTTATATAAATAATAACTTATTAAAGAAAAATTGGAAATTAGGAAAAAAATGAGGAAGGAAATTACTCATCAACCAGAGAACATTTTCACACAGCTTCTTCGATAATTTCCTAGATTATGTGTATATCTCTAAATACTAGATTTTTTTTTTCTATTTAACGTTTTAAAATCTTACCCACCTAGAAACAATGACATTTAAAAGCACAGTGAATGTTTGTCTTTTTGGAGGTAATGCTTTATTGGGTACTTAAAACATGCAAAATGCTTTATGGCAAAAAAATAAATAAATAAATGTGCTTTCCTACTTTGTTCAAGTCATGGTAATAACAGATAACACTGGACTCTGGTGGTTGCCTCAGATGACAAGACAGTGGACACATAGTGTTTCCATCTGAACTAGGCTTAATTTCCAGGACTTTTTCATATTCCCTATTCATGTGAATTATTTGTATGGTTACCTTCCAGCCCTCTGTTTTAGAGAAAGTAAGCTCCTTGAGGAATGGAAGGATTTTGCTTTGCTCTCCACCAAATCCCTAGAGCTTAGGATAGTGCTGACACATATCGAGACATGTTTGTATAATGAATGTTCAGCTTTGCCTGTGGAGGCGCTGTATTTTACTACCGCCCACCTAATTGTTGTACCGAAGTTAGTATAACAGACTACAAGGGAAAGACCATATATGTACTTGAAACGCAAGTTTTCATAAGGAACAGTGTATTTGCTGCCTTGTTTCACTTCAGTGTGCTGTAAGCAAAAATGTCATTTCTAAAAATTTAAGAAAGAGTCCTTAATTTTCAATGGATATTGGTATGTTCAATATATATATTAATGAAGCACTTTTTTGTTGTTAATCTTCAGCAGAGGATATTTTTTCCATTGGTTTTTATAGGAAGTGGAAGGAAGGGAGGGAAGAGGGGGCGGAAAGAGAGAGACACATCAATGGGAATCAAACCAACCCTTTGGTGCTTGGGCCTACGCTCTAACCACTGGGCCACACCGGCTGGGGGAAGCACATTTTTGTCCATAGTCAGTCACAGGCTATGGCATCAAGTGGGTGTGTGGAATGTTGCCTGTTCTATCACTTAGGGCTTACCTGGTACCGAGATATCATATTGCCAGTGACCCTCGCAGCCTACACAACTGTTCAGGGGTGAAATAAATAGGTTTTCTTCATGTAGTTTCTTTACTTAAAACATACTGTGAATTTGATTAGCATGGCTATTAGTATTGCTAATTTTTGCCTGTTTTTTCTTCTTAAGAGTTTGCTATAATTTATTTGTGTGTAATGAAGAAAAGATTATAGTGTGTAATGTGTATCTATGATTGCTTGGACATTATTTTAGGCTTTATTTTTTATAAATTAGCTTAAACTTTTAAGTTGACCACCGCCTGGCAGCACCTTGCCCTGACTCAAGACAGCAGCATCGCCCAGGGTCAGAGGTATACTGGTCTCACTTTAGCTCTAATCTGTCTGGGGCCACAAAACATCCAGCCACCTTCATTCTACCTCAAGTTTACAGATCTAATTGAGAGAATTACTATAGGACTATTCTTTGGCCCAGAGTGTATTACAGTAAGGCAGAAACACCAATCTGAGGAGTTTCTCTGGGGAGAGAGGAAGTCATGATTTCTTCATATCATGTTTCCAGTGAAGATTTGCAGGGGTCTGATGAAACCACCATCATTTTTTCTTCTTACAAAGGAGAAAGATCAGTGGCCTGCTAACGACTTCAGGAAAGTGGTTTTCCAACATTACTGTTTGTTATTATGGCTTAACTCTTTTTCTCACAAACTCTTAACAGGTAGACTTATTTAAAGCCCCTAGGGAAATACAAAAGAGGAGTATCATGCTTTTAACAAATATTGAAAGTGGAACGAATACAAATGCTCTATGAAAGGTACAGAACTCAGACATGTCAGTGCCTATCTCTGGCACTGGCTGGTGTGGAGGAACTTGAATGTTTAACTCTGCCATTTGTACTTTTATAGCATAGATTCATGTTAGTGCTATAGTTTTATAACTGTTCTTTAGGTATTGCCATACCAACATGGCTTCCTATTGGCTATCAAATCCTTTTTCCTTGCCTGCGTGTTTTAGGAATTTTCATTCTGTGTTGCGTTGCATTGCATTGGGAAATACAAATTTGTTAAAACACTTTTTTTGTTGTTCCTAGGATTTAGAAGAATTCTGCTTCAGGTTTTGCATAAATCATTTAACTGTAGTAACACAAACTTCAGGCTTTGCAGAAATGGACCATGATCTCCTGAAGAACTTCATCAGCAAAGCAAGCAGGGTTGGAGCCTTTAAAAATTGATCCTCACCTGCAGGAAAAAAACTTCAGCATTTTTATTTTCCCTGCAAAAGCTAGAGAATAACTTTTCTTTAAAAGCATTCATGATGAGCTACCTGTGGCTGAACACTCACATTCTGTCAGGAGGGATGGCGCCCAGTCCCCATCGGCTGGAATATCCAAAGTTGATATAGAAGGCATTAAACGCTCTGCTCAGATGTGACTAAGCTCCAGGGAAAACAAAATATCTTCTTATATTTACCATTTCCTCTTTCAAGTCACTTAAGTTGGACACTTTTGGCATATTGGTCTAAGTATATGCTATTCTGACCCAATGTTCTGCTATTCATTAGGCTGCTATCACATAGATAGCTTGACAAGGAATGCTGTCTCCATCACATTTTTAGCATCCAGCACAGTGCCTTGCATATAATAGGCACTCAATAAATTTATTATAAATCTTAAGTGCGCCCTGAGAATAGCTTTATCTGTGGGCTCTTGGATGAAGGGATGACTTGCACAAAAACAAATTTAAAACAGCCTGCATCTATTAAGGCTCCTCTTCTGGTGCATCGTTCTGAGAAATAGCAGCTAATTTAGAGCATTAATTAGAATTCACAAAGGCCTTGGCACATAAATTGCCAAAGGCCCAAGGGCTAACTTTAATTTTCCATTTACCGAGTCATTGATTTCTCATATGGGATTACTGAATATGAAGTACTGTCTTTGAATAAATGTTATTTCTGGGCTCATCTGCCTTATAATTGCATAATGTCCTTAGCTTTGTGTTAAGAGCGATCTGCCTCTATAAATAAAAATGTGTGTGTGTTTCTTGTAGTTGACTTTTATGTTGCTTTAAATCTAGTCTGCTGCTCAGGCACAAATAGATAGTGATTATAAAGTACTAGCTGAAAAGGAACTAATGCTTACATTTCACATAAGCATTAAGAAGAATGAGATACATTTATACTTTTTAGATCAAAACAAGTTACCTGACAGCAAAAGGGAAACTGGAATGGGATGTAGGCTGTAGAATCAGGTTCTCCTAATATGTTCCCCAATATGATATTATGTAAAGAAAACTCTTAGAACTAGAAACCTTGTTTTGATGATGAACTATTTGACAATAAAGTGCTTATTTGAAGACAATAGAACAGATGTGGGGTTTTTTTTTTAATTTATTAAAACATTTTTTTCAAATACAGTTTACATTCAATATTATTTTGTATTAGTTTCAGGTGTACAGCATAGTGAATAGAACATCATATACTTTACAAAGTGTTCCCCCGATATTTCCAGTACACACCTGGCACTATACCTAGTTATTACAATATTATTGACTATATTCCCTATGCTGTACTTTACATCTACATGTGTGTTTTTCAATCCCTGAGAAACAGCAAAATTTATCAACCTTATGTGTCTTAGATATACATAATACATAAATCCATGTGATATGAGCTTGTTCTTTTTTTTTTTTTTTTTAGAGAGAGAGAGAGGCAGGGAGAGGGAGAGATAGAAACATCGATGAGAGAGAACATCAATTGGCCGCTTCCTGCATGTCCCCCACTGGGGATTTGGCCCACAACCTGGGCATGTGTCCTGATCAGGAACTAACCAGTGAACTCTTGGTGCATGGGTGGATGCTCAACCAGTGAGCCACACCGGCCAGGCATTAGTTTGTTTCCTAAAGCAGTTACTCAAATACGGTATCATAGCAAAGCCCACTTAAAAGATAAATGGTTATAAATAACTTACTGTTCATATTATTGCCTGTGGCTGCTCTTTATAGGGGAGGTCACATCTGAATCCTTTGTTTCTTTGTTTATCCATTTTTGCAGACCTTATCTTGTAGACGCAAAGAAATCTGGATGCCTCCAGTTCTAAATCACAATCCTATTTTTGGAATTATACAGTTTTATTCAGTTATTTGTTATTTTAAATCTGCTATATACCATTTGTTTTCACCTTTTTGGTAGATTTGCTATTTGTCCAGCACAGAAATGTTTAGACCTGGCGATGGCCTATCTGTATCGGTTCTTGCAGTTGCACAACCACTGTCTTCATTTCGGACTTTTCCTCTTCACTCTCCTATGCTCACTGTAATGGACCAAAACAGCTTCAGTGTCTTCCAACACCTTTTCCTCTTTCTTGCTCTTCCTGACGGTCTTCTGAAGCTCCTCAATGCCTTTTTTCTTTTATGAACTATTGTAAAAATTGGGACACTCAAAGGGAGCAGACAAGTTTATTTAAGGGTGCACAATGGACTGCCCTTTACCAAACTCCACAATGAGCCAGTAGCCATACTGCCAGAGTACAAGTTATCAAGAAGGGCCAGATGGATTTTTATCCAGATTTTCTTTCTTTGTTGTTATGTGTCAGTTTGCACTGCTATGTAGCTCAGTGCTTATTATCTTTGAGTACAACAGAATAATCTATGGAACTTTGACAAAATATAGATTCAGAGATTCTAGTTCAGTATATTAAAAAATCTGTCATCAGCCCTGGCCGGTTTGGCTCAACAGTTAGAGCGTCGGCCTGAGGTCCAGAGAGACCCGGGTTCAGTTCCTGCTAAGGGCACGTACCTCGGTTGCAGTTTGTCCCCGGCCCTGGTTGGTCGTGCGGGTGGCAGCCACTCGATGTGTTCCTTTCACATCGATGTTTCTCTCTCTCTCTCTCCCTCCCTCCCACTCTATCTGTACAAAAAATGGAAGAATGTCCTTGGGTGAGGATAAAAAAATATCTGTCATCAAAAGTAATTTTGATGCTTAGCCAAGGATTAGAGTCCTTAAAATCCGTAACTCCAAACAATAAGGGCTAATTTTCAACAAGTTTGAAAGGTGAACAGTTTGTCAGTGGACATGTCTCTCTGACAAAACATGCCTTTTCTCTGGTCTTCGAGGAGAGGCTTGCTGTCAGCACTCCCACGTGAAGGATAACAACACCGTTTCCCTGGAACAGACCCACGTCCACAGAACCTCAGAAACACGACTGTCCAGTTATGGGTATGAGAGAGAAAAAGTATATTTTCATAGTGACACTACATCAAAAGTTAATAGATTCTTTCTTTTATTTAAGTCCATCCTAGATTTCCTATCCTCAAGTTGTGTTTCCACTCTGCTCACACAAGGAAGTTCAATGTTTTAATGCTTCCAGTATAGTTTTACCCTAACTTAGAGAGAAAAGTCAAGATTTTACAGGAATAAAGAAGTGTCCTCATCTGCTGATAGGTGTTCGGGAGGATACAATTCAATGCTTTTTGAAAAGTAAAGGTTAATGTTCTTCAGCTGAGACCTGAAGAAACTGCCAGTCGTTCTGAACCATAACCGGTGAGTTTCATTCAGAGGCAGAATTCTTGACCAGTAATAATGAAAAGGAAGCAATTACAAATTCAGAGTCTTGCCTATCGTATTAGACCTCCTCCATCAAATTATTACAACAAATAGTTTGGGAGAATTGTAAAAAAAAAAAAAAAGGAAAAAGTATACCTTACTGTTATTTTTAATTCAGTCTTTGCCAAAGCATAAAAACATAAACCATTCTGATTTTCTCTCTCTGAATTCTGTTAAAATCACATTTTTCTATTCAGAAAATAAATGTTGGTCTGTGAATAAATTTAACATCCATATTAAACTATCATTATCATATATGTCAATACCAATAGTCCCAAAATAATGACACAAAGGATTTATAAGAATAGATCACTACCCCAGCTTCATATTAAAAGCACCTGTTTTTAACCCCATTCAGACATTATATAGTGTTACCATACTATATTTCCATTTAAGAAACTATACTTGTGATAGAAGTTTACAATTTCTAGAGGCAAGGTTTCAGATTGTTTTGTAAAATATCTACTTAAGCCAAAGGAAAATTCAACTGAATGAATCCTTAGCAATGCTGAGTACACTGTCTGACCCAAAAAATGAGGAACAGAAATATGTTTCTACAGGCAAGTGTCTATGAAACCATGCAGATGACAACAGAACTAGCATGTAGGACTCCACGCCACCCCCCAACATTGCACCAGAAAACTGTAATGGAAAATAACTGAGTAAATGAATTTGAACTTGTTCTGTTTATCATAAAGAACTTTAATTACTGGAACACTAAATTAATTATCGGAAGTAATCAATTTTCATCATGTACATTAAAAAAATTTAGTGTCATAAAGACTGCTTGATTTTGCCTGACCTAAGAGACTACATTTAATGTAAGATCTCCATCCAACATAAATACGTACAGTCCACTGACGTGTGCTTGCTGGTTTTCCTGCTCTAACCTCTTTATTTGCCTTTCTTTCATCAGGAACAAATTATCCACCCTGTTTTTGAGAAATCATAGTTCTTTTTCTTTTATTAAATTCCCACCTGAGGATATGTTCGATTGACTTCTAGAGAGAGGGAAGGGGAGAGAGGAAGGGATTGGGGGAGAGAGAGGCAAATATCCATGTATGAGAGAAACACCAATCAGTTGCCTCTCACACATGCCCCCACCAGGGATAGAACCCACAACCCAGGTATGTGCCCTGATTTGGAATGGAACCGACAGCCTTTCTGTGCACAGGACAACACTCCAATCAATTGAGCCACACTGGCCAGGGAGAGAAATTGTATTTCTTAAACTCAAGAGAATCTCTTATCTAATACCATGGATACCAGATGTGTTTCATATTTTTTTTGGAGCTTAATGATGATATAGTACATATACCACATAATACATAATACCTGAGCAGGGCCTAGGTTAGATCCCCCAAATCAATAAGTTAATATTTTTGTAGTAAGATAAGAATATTTCCACTAACTGGGATAAAGGTTCTAAATAGCTCCATGCCAGTTTAGATATGTTTTTGATGCCATACAAGTTGGCACCAAACAGACAGGAGAACCTCCTTGTTTTTTTAAAGCCTTCAGAATTGCATATAAAGGATTGTGGGCTTGAAATCTACATAAAGGCCTGGCCGGTGTGGCTTAGTGGTTGAGCGTCAACCCATGCACCAAGAGGTCGCTGGTTCGACTCCCAGTCAGGGTGCATGCCCAGGCTGTGGGCCAGCTCCCCAGCGGGGCATGCAGGAGGCAGCCAATCAATGTTCTCTCTCATCGATGTTTCTGTCTGTCTCTCTCCCTCTCCTTTCCTCTCTCTCTAAAATCAATAAAGAAAAAATTTTTAAAAAGAAAAGAAATATACATGAAGAATGGTTGGGAGGAAAGGCCTTTCATGTAAACTTTACACTAGATGAACAGAGACACCCGCTGCCCTACTCTTTTCTTACCACACCCCATTCTTCGGCAACCCCTACTTCTCAAGCTCACCACACACTCCCACTTCCTGGCGCTGGCTCCCCCGTGGCCTGTTCTATTCCTGCCAGTGGCCACTGTCTCGCCTCCTCAGGACTCTGCCGGAACATAACCTCAGCAAGTTTTTCTCTGACCACGCTACTTAAAAATGTATATAACTCCTTTCCCTACCAGCACTCCTTTTCCTCCCTGCTGTGTCTTTCTCCAAAGTATTCAATACAATCGAACATATAATGTATTCCACATTTATTTATTCATTTGCTGTCTTTCCCTAAAACTAGAATTAAAATATAAGTCCCACAAAGATGGGATTGTAGTTTTATTTATTCATTGTTGTATCATCACATTTACAACTATGACTGGAATATAGTAAGTACTCAGTACATGGCATTTGAAAAGAGGAAGAGACTATTATTTGCTTCTACATACTTGGATGGTCAAAGTT